TGTGTGTGTGTGTGTGTGTGCGTGCGACTGTGTGTGTGTGTGCGACTGTACCATAGCGCCATAAGAGCCTTCGCCAGTTGTTGCCACTTTCTATTCTACACTATGGACATATCCAATCACTGTGTGTGCTACCTACTATGAGGTAATCTGTGGAACTCTAGTCAAGACACGAATGCACCAACCGCCATCTAACTAATGGCGTAAGGTATAAAGTTCTTATCATATCCCACTGCTAACAGATAAGATACTCATTGAGTACACTTTCAGTGACCCTTTTAACATCACTTGTGGTCGGGTAACACTGCCATGGGTAGCTCAATAGTTTCACCTCAAAAACCTGCGGTGTGAAGGAGTTGTACTGGAACGTAAGTGGTTCGTAGTACTGAAATCGTAAAAGATTTGCAGAGTTGAAAGTTTCAAAGATTTTATAAAGAATCAAACTCAAAAATTCGAAGCTGAAAATGTGATGAGCTTGCTACGAAGACAAGTTACTCACACTTTTTTCCAATAATGCTCCATAAGAACTGAAACAGGTACATAACAGCATGTTAAGGTGAACGCTATGGAATTCTGAACACAATCGTTTCCTAGCTCTCAAAGGATCATTAGACTTGGCATTCCCACATTGTACAAATGCGATGCATCCCAAACCCAGAGCATAACCCTGTTATACGTTAGAATCTGTAGTTGGTGGAAGTGTAACAGCTCACCCGTATAGGGAAGCAACTGGAGAAGCATCCATTTAATGAGTGTTGTAGTCATGAATGAAGTGGTACTTACCGTCAAACAATGCTTAAATAGTGGTCATATCAGATTGCTATCATAATAAATTTATCATTTTCTAAACCAAGCTCATACGAGTAGATCCACCGAACAGACACGCTGTCAAAGTTCAACGAAGGGAATAGGAATCACAAGAAATGCCTGCTATAGCAGTATTTACTCATTTACAATAACAATAGTAACCGTTGTATGAAGAATTTCCCCATGCTCTATCTGTCCCCTCAAATATCTCATGAATCCCTCAAGGTCTTTTTTTCAGTTTTTCTGATTTTCTGATGAAGTGGAAACCGGTAGCAACTTTTCGATGCAATTTTTACAAGGAAGTTCGCTTTTCTGAGTGATCCGTAGCGAAGATAAGGGGATTTCGACAGTTTGTTTATTGCTCTCACGATCGTTTTATTCAAGAAGAGAGACATGCTCCAGTTTCTGTTATTGAGAAGTCAAGTTAACAATTAGTATCGATCTAAAAATTTATCAGGCAAATTTATGAAGAAACACATGCACATATATCAAAAATGGAAAGACCAGCACAATTTGACGGTGGAGATCGAACAGAAGGTTCAAAAGCTACGCGAAATTCGCCCTTTGACAACTCTTCCTCAATGCGAAATTGAAATTCTGGGTGATCACCGTTTGGCATGCCTATAGAGGCTAGCAATTCGTGGTAGAGAAACTGAAACTTGCTTTCATAAGATGACTGCATCGTTCAATGACCCTTAGTTGTGGGCAATGACCGATTCTATCGTCTTCATTGCCCTGACTCGCTTCTACACACCATCACTAACCTACAACGCTGGCGCGCCTTACCCTTCCCGGGCTTTAGCTATTGGCGCTGGAGAGGGAAGCATGGTGCAGTGGGCCCCTCCTTCTACATTATGACGCTGGAAACATGACATGGGATATTTTCATACATTCAGTGAAGAGGAGGGCAAGTCCTGCTACTTACAGGTCAGATTTTGCTGGGATCACACTTTTTTGGAACCATCAATGCCGATTTTTGAAGAAGTCCTGGGAGTTGTTTCCACTGGGAGTGCCATACTTTTAAACATAGAAATTATACAGTGTACGAACTCACATCCATTTTAGGATCCTTCCTCTTGATTTCCTCTACTATGGTCAGATTCTCTTTCGTACGGAGTCCATGTCTGACCAAAGGATTGATTCCCAGTACTTTGACATCTCCAACGATTGTGACCTACAGAAAAAGACTTTTAGGGGAAACAAAAACTCGTCTCAGAAAAGAAGACAAATATTCATCTCTGAAAATTGGATAGAACTTTTCCGGACCAGCGAAAACAAACATTGAAAGACGAGTGAATCTCAGATTTCAGACAGAGTAACAATATTGAGGAGTACTTTAATTATTACAGTGAAGTGATACGCAAACAATGGGGAAGTTCTCCAGGTCCTCCTCATTAGCACTGGCTCGCTAGTAAGAAGGTCATCGAGTATATTGTCTTACAACTTCTGGGGGTTCCAACAGGGAACGTCTGACGATTACGACTTAGTGTACACAGGAATTTCAAGATTGTTCGTTTTTACCGCATAATCTGTGAGTACTGGGTTACTGGGCCTCCTTGGATGGATCGATGGATCACTTCTTCATGACCTTCTTTTATCCTTTAAGCCAATCACTGATGCCATCTCTTCTGGAGTGAGGGAGCTGCGACACAAAGAAGTAATTGACTGTCGTTTTTGGATCACATTAAGTTACGAATTTCTTTTCCATAAAGGGTGCTCAAAAGGGGGAGCACATGGCAGTCAGAAGGAGGAACACTCCGGGGGTACGACTGATGAGTAACCTGGAACAAAGCGGGATAGATGAACCTTTGACATGGGTTCGAAGCGAATTTTCGACGTGCGTTGTCCCTCTGTAGGGACCTGTTTTACGGTTTGATCGTCGTTCTCTAACCCCGTTGGCCAAATAAAGGGGATCAGAGGGGCAAGCGATAGCTGTGTCCACCTGGCCTGCGCTAAGCAATTCCTAGTGGATAGATACTTTCAACCTCCACTGAATTAAGGGACAATGCTTGCGTAACTCCGAAGGCTAGTATCTTCCACAGCGAAGCGATCCACCCGATTGTTGACCGTCGATCGGTGAACAGTGCCACTAGCATCAATAGATTGCTGATATTTCGAGCTGCTACACCCACTTTTTTTCCATGGCGTGCTCAGTGGAAGGTGATGGTACGGATAGGGTGTTGTCCGTTCATTGACCGTAATGCTGCGAAAGCCCACACGCTGCACTTATTTACTCATGTGTTGATTGCCCGGGAACGTCCTAAAAGTTTATCGCCCTTGCTACAGTGTTCACACTGTTGATACAGATATCCAACGTTTCAAATTTCTTGTCGCAGGACTTATTTGCCTATCTAATAGTTAAAACTCACATTTGTATGATCAAAACAGGCGTCAAGGCTATTCTTTTGTATCCATTTACTTATTGCAGCTTCGTAATTCTGAAATAATGTTGTATAAACAGAACCTTGGATGGAAATATAATTATATCATTCATTCAGATGAACAATAGTAGGATCAACCTTGTTTGCAGAACTTCTGTCCTTCACTTTTGTTGAATTATGCCGATCGATTAGACACGTACAAAAATTCTCAGCAATGTATGCATCTCGACAAGACCTACAAATACTCGAAGGATAAATCCCGTTTTTTTTTGGGATGTGCCATGACATTTGACCCTTACTCAGAATTATAATGACGTTTTCAATGTCTATGTGACCCTTAAAAGGACATGTGATGGCCAGCCGATGTAGAAATCGGTGGAACCCCCCCCCCCCCCCCCNCCCCCCCCCCCCTCTCTCTCTGAAGTCTGTTACCATTGAGCGACCTTAAAGGTTTTGAATACTTGATTGACTTGGGCGGATATCGATCCGAGATTGGAAACCAGGAAAGTGCGTGTGTGACGGTTCTCTACTTTCCCTTAGAACCCACAGACCCCCTGCAGGACCCGCAAAACGAAGATTTTTTTACCTGTTTAGTTATTCGCTATGAGAGACACCGGGTTGCGTTCATTACGGTTTTTTCCACACCTATAAGCCTCACTCGATTTTGGAGAATTTTATAAGGTATTTATTCGTGCTCTCCACTAGCTTATTACGCCATCTAACTTTCCCATCATCCGGGTCCTTATAGAATACATGTATTTCCTACTGACTAGTATGTGGTTCGTACTACATGTATTTGATGAATTAAAAACTCCTGACCTCGTGGACGGTACTTTGTCGAATAGGCTGATTCCTCTACCAGTAGACGCCGTTCCTCTTGTTCTTTCCGTACCGAATCTCATTAACACTACATCTCGTAAAGTTTGATGAATGTCAAAATTGCTGAAACACTGCCTATCACTTGTTTTTCCTTTTGAGTACGGACGATTTTGCACTGAATCACTCGAAAACAACAGTATCCTCACTGTACCTTGTAAGTTTCCATTTATTCTCCAAGAAGTTGGCATATTCATTCGGGTACAATTTCTTGAAATCTGTTGGTAATTTAATAGCCATGAGTGGCATTCGCTCCTCTATTGTTCCGGTATACGAATACTTTACGGCACCAATCCGATTACCATGATCTCCCATTATTATGCTGACCGTATTGTCGAGAGTACCTGAAGGAAATAAAGTCTTTGATGAAAACTAATATTTCACATTTGACCGTTTGTACATACAGAATACCTTACAGTCGTGATTCATGGTTTCTCAAGTATTCAACCACTACATTGGTTTCCAGCGGGTCAGTTTCGCTGTTCCATTTACTAACCTTCATCCACAGTTGAAAGAAAATTGTCGGTTATCAGCCAAAAATAGCTGCTTGTTCGCATAAATCCGGAGGGGAACACGTGTCATTTGAGTGCAAGCCCAATCTTCAAGCAGGGTCAGGTTAGCCTAACTTCTGAACTCGAGGCAGCCGATTTTGTGTCACCCAACAAGGACCAATTTTGTTAATCAGGGAGGTACGGTACTTTTATTTGCCTAACATTGTGTAATGATTAAGTTGATCTCGAAGGTCTTGTAGGGTGTGGAGTTGTTCGATCGGGTAACTTCATAAGTTCGATTCCACCCTCTAAGGCTCTTCATAAGGCGGTTTCGCGGAAATATAAGCAATCAAGGTATTGTGCACCTCGAAGGAGTTATATCAATAAGGTTATTTCAACGGTAGCTGCATAGTTCAGACTACCATAAATATAATAGTAATATTAAAATAATAAAATTTTGCAGTCAAGTTTATAAGGTGATTATTACGGTATTTTTGCCCTCATTGATGAACCCGAAAGGTCATCCTTAACTATGGGCAGAATCTTGCCGAGGTTGTGGTGCTAGTATGAAGTCGAAGATTGATTTCTATGTACTCATGTCTACAAAGCTTTTTTCGTAGCCGCTGACTGCTTTCCCACTTCGCCCCTCTCGCTCCACTACAATTCACGAATAGCTTGAACTTGTGCATCCAAAACATTCTACCGATTTTCTTAAAACCTTCAGAACTCTATTAATTTTCATAAGCACCTACCTGAGAGTTGAAGGTTCTCAAGACTCGATCTGAGATATTCATCCAAGGTTTCCAAAGTAAGGCCCGCTTCATGTGTGAGACTGAAACTTCAAACATTATTCTTATTAAATCAGATATGAAATGATCAACCCGAATCTTTTAGGATGGGTCGTGCCGTGGACATTCTTAAAACATGTAGCCGTTTAAAGGGTGAGATGAGAACACTCGATTGATCGATTGAAAATCATCTCAACGACCGCAGAAAATATTAGTAATTTCTGTTACCGAAAACCACAATTTTCTTTTGCTACTCCTTTGAACGATATCCAGTCTTGTACGATCAAGAGAGGCGCTCTTTTAAGGCTTCTTGAAACAGCTGCGACTAAATTAACGGTCACAAGTTCCAAATTATTCAGAGGAGCGAAAGACCGCAGATTACCAGAAAAGAGGTGTTTTCCAGCCATCTCCCACACAACCCGTCAACCGCGAACGTTTCATTCC